ATTTATTATTAATGTTAGAAAATATATGTATAAAAATGAAGTGCAATGTCAATAATTTTTAAATTTTTATACGAGATTTATATTTCAAAATGTCAAACATTTATTAACTTTAAGGTTACTTTGTTATAATGAATATGATTATGATAATTACATTTTTCTAGATTCTTTATATAAATACTTTTATTAGAAATTTTTTTGTTATCACGCTAGTAGCAATAAAGGAGAGAATATAATCACACATATTTAAGATTTCACATTCGATGCTTTTTGAAAAATAACTCTAATATTGAGTTTATTTTAGTCTAATTATAATTTGAGTTTTTTAATAAATTTATTCTTTGTATCCATTCTAATTTTTTTTAATATTTGATTATGATATTAAAAATAAAATATCAGTGAGCAAAATCTTATAATATATTATTATTATTTAAATATTAAATAATTCATTAAATTTATATAATTTATTTATTATGAGTAGAAAAAAAATACTTTTTATAATAGATTTTTACATTAGTTAATAAATAATTTATCTAATAAAAAGTGTTGCGACATATTTGAAAATATCAAAAACTTTTTAACATCAATTATTAAGCTGAACCAATGTAAAAGATAAAAATTAGTAAGAAATACAAAAAAATAAGAAAAGTAAAGAAAATGTTATAATTTTAAAAAAAGAAATTATCCAAAAGTTATGTCTTTTCAAAGTTATATGAAATAGATATATAATTTAAATAAATCATAATTTTGTACAAAAATAATGCATCTTTAAAGTTTAGACTCCAAAAACAAAAAGTTGTCAAACTTTTTATGTCGGTTACTAAATAACTGATGAAGGAATCGATGTAAAAAGTATAACTATAAAGGCAAGAAATTGCAGAAATTTTTATATTAATAAAAGTGATTTACATATCATTGTTTTTCAAAACCAATGTAAAATGTACTTTTTACATGAGTAATTATTGAAATCGATATAAAATTAATTCAAAATGAATCATTCCAAAGGCATGCGCCACTGAAATAACATAAATTCGAGACAACAAATATGGATTCTTACATTCTCAAGCTTTTGTTAGGATTTTGGCTACATCATTGATAAATACAAGCTCTCACATTCTCAAATTTTTGTTAGTGTTGTTGCCTACATCACTGACGAACATGAACCCTCGTTAGGTACATCAATACTTTTAGTTTGCTTCATCATGTATTTTCTTTTCTAATAACTTATTGGTACACGATATTGACACACACATATTTTTCATTTACACATTCAATAAAGATAAAATATCAAGTAAATATTAACAAACATTGGCGATGAACATTGTATATTTTTACATAAGATTAAATTCCAAGTAAATATTAACGCTATTGACATTAACGAACATTAACATTATTAAAAAAAGTGTTTGCTAAATTGTAAGGAGAACATTGACGTCATTGACAAACATTATTAGAAAGAATATTTTCTATGTTGATTGGTTTAAAAACTAACGTAAAATATGTACATTCTTTAACATCAGTTGGTTAATCAATGTAAAATCTCCTCACTTATTATATCACCTATATCTACATTGATTTTGTCAAAAGTCATTTTTAATTGATGTAAAAAGACTTTTTATCAACTATTGTATGTGATGATTTTATTAAATATAAAACTACTATATTTGTCTGCCAACTAGTCACTAGAAAATTTTCTAATCTAAAAACAATAGTTCTATTAGTCTCCAACATATTCAAATATAAGACATGTTGGTTTCTAGAATGACTAATTATTAATTCAACAAATAGAACAATTAATGATTATCTTGTTACAAGTGATGATGTTTTATAAGATCAAAATATAAATTTTCTCATGTAAAAATTGTTGTAACTTTAGTTTAAAGGATCAAGGATCACATATATCATTATCACATTGAAAATCATTTATAATACTCATGTAACAATTCATAAAACTTTCTAATGGTAGATCAATTTAGTGCAGCATTACTATATATATATATGTGTGTGAAACTTGATATCTCATATGTATAATTCCTAAAATTTAATCATAAAGTTTCTCACATATTAATTTCAATATATTATATTTTTTTTATATTAATATTTGATAAGGATATTTTAAGAATAATATAAAATAAAATCTCATTATCAAATCATTGATATTATACATGGTTATAATATTATAAAGACATCATATATTTTAGAAAAAAATATATCTAAAATATCTCGATTTATTAAAATAAATAATCATATCAAAATAAAAAAAAAAATATATATATATATATATAATATAAAATATAAAAACTTCTAGCGTATACACCAACGATTAATCCTTTATAATTAATGGCATAAGTACATAATGGTTAATAAGATCCTTATAGTTCATAAGTATGGTATCAAAATTTAGTAAGGATATATTTACAAAATACAATAATTTTTAAAAGATTTAAATCCTTTTTTTTTTTTGTTAATATACATCATACCGGTTTTCAATTTTGTTCTTGTGTGAAAAAAGTTTGTAAATTCAACCTTATACAAACAAATTTTTTTGTCCCTACGCTAAAGAGACATTATAACATCGTTAATCCCAGTCTTACCTGTCAAGCAAAATTTCAAAAAGGACATATTTATATGAGTAGGTCCACTGCACAATGTTACACTTCACCTCTCTCCGTCCTCAGCCCCATATCAAATATCGTTTAGATCCTCCTACCTCCTTTCATCGATCTATATCTTGAACCTTGTTAAATCACTCTCTTCTTTTTTTATTCAACATCCATAACCTATATAGCAAATCTTCTACCATCCCTTAAGTGGGGATGGCTGGGTAGAACATAAGTAATGTCCTTGTAAAATTGATCTATTCCAAACATCAAACTGCAATTCAAATATAGAACCATACCACAATTCCTCCTCAAACACATGAAGAAGACATTAAAGGTTTCCTTGGCATCTCCACCACCCATTGTTTTGTGTATATCTATGTAGTTGTGGCTTCGAAAGTTAGGGAGATGAGAATGGTGTTGAGGTTTGATCGGTAGATGTTCTTTAGAATTAAGGTTTCGTTGCTTGAGAAATTGTGATTCAGGCACTAAAGGCCATTCAATTATAGAAATATGAAAGATGTCATAAAAGAAAAAGTAAATGAATATCAACATGTTGACATAGTCAGTCATTTGAGTTTGTTGGAAAAACATGATATGGAGATGAATTCTTCTTGAACGCCAACATCGTGGCTTTTGGAATATTGAGCAGCTTTATAGAATAAGGATCATGTAGAGCGTATTGAAATTTTGTTTGACGCGTAGGACTGTGATTGACGATGTTATAATTTGTTAATGCATTTGAGTTTAATCAATTACTTGTGTTGTTTTTAATACTTTTTAATTGTTCGGCCAATATTTAATTAAATATTGGAAGAAATCACTAGACATGGAGAAATATATTTTAGATTATATTTGTAAGTAACGTGAGTTTGGATTTTAAAAATTTGTGAATATATTAATTACTTAAACCGAAAAAAAATATATCTACTCACCTTGTATTTTAGGTAAATAAAATGAGGTTAATTGACTTGGACATGGATTTTTAAATACATTAACACTCTTGCTAACAGAACTTTATTAAAAAAAAATATGTCTAAGAAATTATATGCATATCAAATTAAAATAGGAGGTAAATATAAACTCTTAATCTTCAATATTTGATTAATGTTCTCAAAGTCTACATGGTGTGTGTTTTTTCTTTTGTATTATTTTATCAGCTCCTCGCTTAATTACAATTGCTTGGATAGACTCAATTAGTCAATAGCTAACTAATTAGAATCTTAATAGAAAACCAATTTGTGTGAGAATGATACTCATATTTCACTCTTCTTCACTTGTCCTGCTCGTACATTTGTGATATACAAGAATAATTTCAATAATTTAAAAAAAAAACCTAAAAAAGTTAATCCTAAAATAAAATCTAAAATATTTTAAGATATAACTAACATATGTTTCAGAATCGTTTGTTGTACGGGTGTGTTATTAAATTATTACAATTTTTAATACAAATTATTAAAAGTATATTATATTTTTATTTTTAAATTTTATAATTTAAATATATTTTTATTATTTATAATAGATACTTCTTATATTAAATAAAATCAACTAATTTTTTATTATTATCAAAAATATCGTATGTTTTTGTATAATTGTATGATTAGAATGTATAAGTTTTATGATAATAAAAATAACAATTTGCTATTGATACTCTCCCACACGCATATATACATATTTAATATTTTTAAAATATAAAATTATTTATATTAAATTATATGATATCATTTTGATAATTATATGTATGTCAAATTTTGAATAAATTAAATAAAGAATAAAATAAAAATATTTTATTAATGTTAGAATAATAATAATAAATATAAACTATTAGATCTTATTTTGGTGGTCAATGTTAAAATAAAATTAATATAAGTTTTTTACATAATTATGTGGCTATTAATTAATTTTTAATCTTAAATATTTATATGTAGTTATATGGTTCTAAATTATAATATTTACAATCTTAAAATAAAATATATTTTCACTTCGTATATTTTATTTTTGTTTAACAGTAAAACTTGATTCATACAAAATAACTGAAGATTTTTGTATGGGCTGCACAGATATTATTAATTTAAAATAATTTTTAAATAAAAAATAAAATATATTATATTACTAGTTTCAAATTTGATAAGTTTTATTAATTAAAAATAATTCAATAATAATATTTTTATTATGTTAAATAAAACAAACTTAAATATATAAAATTTTAAATTAAAAAATAGAAAATTAAAATTAAATTAAAAAATAAAAACTTTAGAAAAAAGTGATGATATTTACACGTAGGATTGCACTGTTAATTGCTATTTGTGTGTCAAAAGTCATAAACTAAAGAGGCAGCAGTCCATTTGCGGGCTCTATAAAATTCCGCTCGGCATACAAAATTGGGATTCCATTCCAAAAGCTTAATCGCATTGAAGAAAGACTAAGTTCTCATCTCTGTTTCATGTTTTTGATAGTTAGGCACACTTTGACTGCAAGAAGTATACATAGTCCCAAATAACGCTTTTGCATGATGGCGCTTTTGCATGTTCTTGCCGTTTTTCTTCTCCTATCACATCCTTTTGCTGTGGCAAATGCAAACTCTGAAGGTAAATCCCTTTTAATATATATTCTTTCAAGTATTTTTGAAGAATATTGTCACGATTTTCTGCTTTGTTGAACTTGAAAACGAACAGGTGATGCGCTGTACGCGTTCAGAAGAGCTGTGAAAGACCCAAATAAAGTTCTACAGAGTTGGGATCCAACTTTGGTGGATCCATGTACATGGTTTCATGTTACCTGTGATGATGATAAGCGAGTTACCCGACTGTAATGCACACCATTTTATCCTTTTAATTTTTCAGTTATTTATTTTTAATATTAACTCAACTCAGGTGTATTATTATTTTAATGTTGTTTTGTTTCCACTTTCCACATAGCCATATATAATAAGAGGAAAATTATGTTGAAATCTTCGGAATGGCTTTCCATGTCGACCATAATAACAGACTTTTGATTAGTGTTATTTCCTGGGAATGGCTTTTGACCATTCTTGTACATTGGATACAATTACAGTTACCGTAGTTCCTTTATTTCACAGAGACCTCGGACACGCAGAACTAGCAGGCCATTTGGTTCCAGAGCTAGGGAGGCTCCAGCGCCTTCAGTTTCTGTAAGCACCGTAGCAAAGTTTCTATTTTTTGGATGAAGCTGATTTTGGGTGCTCCTTTCTCTTCTTCTTTTTTATGCAAATAGTTGGATTGACATTGTGCAGAGAATTGTACAAGAATGATTTGACGGGTCCTATACCAAAGGAACTTGGGGACCTTAAGAACCTTGTTAGCTTGGGTCTCTACCAGAACAACCTCACTGGCTCCATCCCTGCCACCCTCTCCAACCTCTCAAACATCAAATTCTTGTAAGTTACAGTGATCAATGAACTAAATAGTGAGTGAGCCGTTCACCAAGCCTAACCTAACCCTTTATAATGCAGACGACTCAACAGCAACAAGCTCACTGGAAGAATTCCGAGGGAACTTACTAAATTGGGAAACCTCAAGATCCTGTGAGTCTCTCTTGCAGTTTCACTGTCACAATTCTCTTATTCTTCACCTATTCTAATTTCACCCGTTTAAATTTGGTTTTCTTGTTTTGCGCAGAGACCTTTCAAGCAATGATCTGTGTGGTACGTTCCCCACATCTGGCTCCTTCTCCAAGTTCTCTGAAGAAAGGTGAGTCATCCCAGTATTAGCCAAAACCATAAAAAGAAGAAAAGAAAAAGGTGGAAACAATATAAGTTCTCTTGATGTCCGTGAGGAATCTCAATAATAGTACCTTGACTTTAGTACTATTTGTCAAATGAGCTACATCTAAATATAATAATAATAATAATAACAACAACAATAAAGCGGGATCACTTGAATTCAAATGCAACATAATAGGAAAGTGTCTTTCTTATACCTTTTCATTGCTGTTCGTTTGCAGAATTTAGCTATTTTCCTCTGTTATGATATAATGCTTCTCTTAACTCTCCATGATCCATTGCTGATTAGAAGTGTGAGAACATTAGCTGATTGTTAAATTTTCCAACAGTTTCAAGAACAATCCAAGACTGAAAGGCCCAGAATTAATGGGATTCGTCAGATATGATATTGGAGGAAGCTGTAAATGAACGATTATATCTATCAAATAACGACCAGGAGGAAGCCCATCCTCGTGCCAATGGCGGGTCATAGGCTATGTTTGTTTTTCTTATATCCGTTTCAAAATTACTTGCTTGTACCAAATTACCAACATTATGCGAGTATGCGTTCGAATTAGGACCTTGGTAATCCTTTTCTTGGTTTCCAGATCTGTACAGTTAGTACGGATGGTTTGGGATGTCTATTTGTAATATAGATAGATAGATAGATAGATAGATAGATATAGACATAGGTTAATATTAATGATAATGATACTAATTGAGGCCGATCAAGTTTGGGTAAATAGACCATCCACAAAACCATAAGAGTGCCTATTTGGATGATCGAAACCAATTTTGCTAGTCCAGTGATGAAAATGCTATGGTACATGATCCAAACTAATTTTAGCAGTTCCATGCACTCTCAAGTCATAATTGCACAACAGTTCACTCGATTTCTACTCTCAACTCATAATTGCACAACAGGTCACTGGGTTATGCACTCATTATTGCATAACCGCATGACATTAGCAAGGCACGGAAATTCTATTTACATTTACATGAATACTACTCTCTTTTCAACCAACTCGACTAAAGTGCAAATAAATCAAAAGCATGATTGGAACTCAAATCCAGAAATGAATTAAATTCTGCGAGGATTGTCCGGACGTGTTCTTAGAAATAATTGAAGTAAAATCATACGAAAGCAAAATTCACTTACTGAAAGGACAACTTAATTAGACAATTGGATCTGTTGGAAAGGGGAGGCGTGATTGATTGGTATTAATGTCAATTGCTTGAATAAATATTTCAACAATAGAACCGATGGACATTTATTTCAATAAGACAAGCCTACGATAAAGTAAAACGAATATTTACAGATTTGCAACTAAGCAAGCAAAACTTGATCTAAGATTGCTTGATCTAAGCTTAATTTGCCAGGTCGTAAACAGGCTAACTTCAGACGTAAGTGGAATTAATCTGCACAAGTCCATTGACCATATCCGGGTTCATTGCTTAATATTGGTAAAAACATGTACATTCCTGAAAACAGAAAGAGAAGATAAAATCTTTTTAAGTTCAAATAAAATTTCTCAAAGGATTAGTAGTAGGAACAAAATGCAATAATAAGGCATTTTCTAAATTAATCTTACAATGGTAACAATATAGTATTTAACCATTTGAAACAACGAATCTTATAACCAACAATTTTGAATTAAAATATTTCTTGGCTATGTTAAAACTAACCTATCATGTCCTAGATTATGTAACCCGCCAATTAAAAACAGAAGCCCCACCTGTTGGACATGTTATGTTACCAAGCCTATGGAAAACATTGAAACATAAGCTGATTCTTCTGTCACTTTTACAGCTGTGCAAGGGGGGTAAATGAAGTGTTGTTCCCTAACCTATCATTCAGGATTGTATACAGATAGCTACCCAGTTTTCTTCCGTGTTTTTCCATCACTAGGAGAAATGCCAATGGTATAGCTCATATTCTAGCCTCTGAAGTTATTCATGTTGATCAGTTCATATGGTGGGACTCGCCACCGGAGAACATTTTATGTAATCTAGCTGCTGAAGAAATTCATCATTAATAAAATTTTAGTTGGATTTCAAAAAATGTCACCAAGCAAACAACACAAAATAGATATGAAGTGAGTTTCTACATGTATTACCTGAAATTGGAAACTAAATTGGACATTGTTAAATGTCAAATCCATTAAAGATCAGATGCATGCGCCGTAAATATTTTCAATCCTAATGTGAATTTCTAGGAAGTATTTGTATGAAGATCACATAGCTTATTTTGTCATAAACCAGCAATTCCAAAAGCTTAAACTGTTAGCTGAAGACACATGAATAATTTTATATTACATATCTAATATGTCCCCTCATGCAAGTGCCCTGTGGACTTGGAGTGTGGGTTATGCATAGGCCCACCTGCCTTATAATCAAATTCAACTCTTCATTAGAAGAATGGGAGTGGCAAGGAGTAAACTCTAGATCACTGGGTCATAGAGGCTCTAAGAGAGTGAAAACATAATGAAATTAAAAAATTAATACTGTCTTAATATGATGTGAAATGTCATCTTACAAAACAGAGTGCCATTATTTCTCCCAATACTATATCATAATCCTAATTAATAAGAAAAAAATTTCTAAGAGAGAATCTAAGATACTCTAAACTACTCCAAGATATTATTAGATATTGTTCATATAATTACAACCACTAAACTTTTTTCCACTAGGTGAGAGTTGGATAGTTTTCAGATATTCTAACAATTTTAAAGATTGTACTTGCTCAACAATAGTAGTCATACACCAATGACACTTCAGGATCTTGATATTATAGAATTAGGTCCTAACCCTAATCTCCATTTTATCCCATTTCAGACCAGGCAAATTGAGACAAAGGTTTTGCCATTTATATATGAAACTTCAACTCTTTCTACATTATCTAAATTTCACAATTAACATAAATGCTTAAATAAATCCAGGAAAACAAAATAATAGTAAATGAGAAAAAGTTTTAAAAAAATAACCTGGTCTAAACATCAAGAACAGTCTCAGCCATCTGATGATGGCCGACTACTAGATAATGCAATTGGTGTCAGAGGAGGCGAAGTGATATCTTCAGATATAGATGATCTATGAGATGATTCTAATGTTCTTGACCCATGTAATGCTGCAACTCTAGCACCACTAGAAGGTATGGAGAAACTGCGAGCCATCCCTTGAGGTGGAATTGGTAGTGGAGATGCTGCACTTGGTGCAACCAAATTATTTGCAGCAGAAACCTTGGGACCTCTAGACACCAATGGACCTGAATGACCCACCAAACCTAAAAGCCTTGAATTGGATGGGAAACTGGTTGGAGGCCTCGGAAGTTCATGTAGCTCACTTATTTTAGGTGAAGACATGAGAGTAGGAGATGCACTAGGAGATACTTTCGGAGATGATGATGGAGGCTGAGGGATTGGAGTTGGCAAAAGAGGTCCAGAGAACAGTTGAACACTTTCTGCCGAAACAGGCTTGCTAGGCCAAGGATTACTTGTCAATGGACCAGAAAAGGCATGTCTTTTAATCTTTTTAGAGTAAGCAGATACATAATCACGATTTGCGGATAAAAGACTATCTACCAAAGGAGGTGGCAATCTCGTGGAGGTAGTAGTTTTGTTACTTTCCTTGAGAACAGACTGTGCACTTCTGACAGTTGGACCAGAAAACTCATCTCCAATGTCTTTTTCATGTTTCTTTTGTTCCAAAGGGGATGAATGTCTCAAATTCTTCGTAGGTTCATTTAAATTTGTCTGCATTTTGGAAAGCTTTGGATTATTAGACCCTGAAGAGGTTGAACTCTTTGCATCAACTGGCGTAGGTAGCACATAAGAACTGAACTTCCGTGATAAAGATGGGCGCATCTGTCTCAGTTTTTCGCTTGAATCAGGTTTATTATCAGCAAAAAGTGGGGCAGATTGGCTTACTGTCCTAACCCTAAAGGAAAACAAATTTCTTTGAAGCTTATCTAAGTTTTCCTGCAAATAAAGCAAAAGGTATTCATTGTGTCTGCTCTTACATATTTCAAAATTTATATTAAAAAGGAAACTAAAGAAAACTGAAACGTCTTTTTCACCTTAGCAGCTTCAGCTGTAGAACCTCTAGGAAGGGTAAGTTCCACCTGGTCCAGCTGTAAAGAAGCAAATATGGTCGAGCAGTATTTCATCAAAATGAAGTAATATAAACTAACTGAAGTGTTTTTTAAACTTGAAAATTAAAAATATATGCATGGTTCTGATCAGAAATCTTCACAAACAGAAGTTCAATAATGAAACTTGTATACATAGACCAGAGAAGTTAAAACTCCATAGTTTTCTTCTAGAGGTTCTAGCTCAATCCATCTGCCTAGCATTCTAATTAAACTATGTTCATCATGTGCATAGAGAAATTAGCCACATTATGATGCCCGTGGACTTAGGACCCAAACTAAAGGCCTACACAACATAATATTTTTCCACCAAGAATTCATTCATTAAATAATTTTGATTCCACTCCTTTTTAGCATGCAGAAGGACTCAAGCCCCTCAACCACCACCACAAGTGCACAATCATTTGCCTGTTAAATTATGCCTGTTTATAGATGTAGTTGCCCAATCTTTTCATTAGACATACATTTCTCAAGAAGTTTGAGAAATATGAAAGAAAAAGATTACAAATTCCTAGTTACTCAAGGTAATCACCTCCATTGAGTTCCGTGATGTAGAAGCATCTTGGTCTTGCTCCATTTCTCCGTAGTCAAAACTCAGCTCCCCATCATCATTCTCATCATAACCAACATCATCATCATCTCCATAGTCACCTTCATCACCATCCTCCTCTTCAAGACCACTGAAGTGGTAATCAATGTGTTGCTGTTCACTTACTGATTTTACATGTGGTTCAACTGTCTCAAGAGACTTGACTGCTTTCTTGAAGAAACATAACTGCTTTCAGGCATAACGTAAAGCAATGGTAATCAACACAAAAATAAAAAAAGTAGGAACTTCTAGTTCTCACAAAGAAACAGGGGAATGAAAAAAACCTGAGCAGCATGGTGACGTGCTGCCTGTGTTAAAAGACTACGCGATTGTCCTTGCTTCAGAGATTTCAATCGGAAAACAAACAATGTAGCCTCCTCATCATATTCATCACGAGCAGTTTGCAATTGCTGCAACGAAAATGTTTCCCCTTTTCCACCTTTAGACCTACCTCTTTCTCTATATCTTGTTGCCATATACTCGTATACATTTCTGCAGATTGTATAACACAATGGTAAGACATATGTCGTACTCAAAGACAAAATTAGATCCAACAAAACATTCCAAACCTCTTTTCATCACATTGTCGCTTCATCTCCTACTCCGGTATTAAGACAAAAAAAAAAAGTCAAAATTACAAAAGGTCCTCCAAATACAATGATGCAAAAGATATAATTTACTGAATGAGTAGACTACCTAAATTTATGAAATAAAATAAAGATATTCTAAGATTATAGCAATAACAAATATTTGAATTTCAAAATTGAAAGGGGGTGATGTATAAGTAAACTGGAAAAAAAAAAACTGATAGATAGGATGAAATTAGTATAGAAGCTAGAAACCTCGACAATTCGAAGTTCATTCAAGAGAGACTCTGAGGGAATGGTAATAGTCTGGAATATATGAGAACGCTGAAATGGGAAAGAGAAAGTGATGAAAAACGTAGAAAAAAAATGGAAGGATAAAATGAAAAAGAGAAATGGAACTAGGAGTGACATAGTTATCGATGAGTTTCTGAAGTTTGAACTGGATTTTGCCAAGCATGAGGAGAACTTTTCCTGCAAGAATAAAATAGAAAGAGATAAAAGATGAGGAGACGATGAATAAGGCGTGGTAGGAGTAGCAGTAGCATACCGGTTTCTTCTCCTTGATCATTCAAGGCGGTCTTCTCAAGAAGACATGAGCCCATGTCTCGCAAGGACTCGGAGAATTCTGTAAGCAGAGCATAATAATAGATCATAAACTAAAAGGCATTAATTAATATTTAAATGAATATAATTATTATATACCATAAGCACTGCTGGCGGTTGCTGCGGCGGCGGAAAGCAAGGTGTCGTAGCAGTCCCTCATGTCTTGCATGTCCTGCAAAATCCAAATCCAAATCGAAATCCAAATCAAAATCAAAATAAAAATCAAACCCTAATACCTGGGTTGTATGAGATGTTGAAGAAATAGGAATGCGAATGCGTGCCTCTGTGGCCTGAGCCAGCTCGTCAAGCTGGTCCAGAGGCTGAATAGACTTGGAGGAGGCATGCTTGTGATTGTGATTGTGAAGCGCCAGACCTCGCAACTTTTTCAGAGAGCTCTTCATCAAGATATGCGTTCTCTTCTCTTCTCTTCTCTTCTCGATAATATTATTGCATATTACAATTAGAGTGAGTGAACAATGGCCAACAACAACCAGGTCAAAATCCCCATTTCTTTCTTCAACCGCTTCCCCTGCTTACGCCACCAACTCACACAAACACCACCCCTCACATTCTTATTATTATTATTATTATTATTATTATTCTACAAATTCAAATCAGATTTTTTCCCTAACTTTCTTCTTTCTTGACTTCTTCTTCCCCCTTCTTTATTCCTTTCAATTCTCTCCATTTTCATTACTCAACCATTATTATTATTATTATTATTTTTATTATTCCCACGAGTACCTTTCTATTCGTTGGCCTTGGTCAAGACATTACCTTCAGTAAATTGAAACTTTTAACTCTTTCTCAAAACTAGAAAGAATAAACAAGAATTAGGGAAATACTAACAAATGTTCTTGTAGTACTAGTTAAAAGTTAAGAATCAAATATTTGTATTAAAAATATTATAAGTGCATCATTCTCTTTTTTTAATAAAAAATCATTTTAACTTCTTAAGCAATGTTTTAATAAAATCAAAAGAATTATACTATATTACTAGATTCAAAAGCTTTTATAGTAGCGATTCAGTTTTACAGATCGATTAAATTTTTCAATGAATATTGTAGATTTAAATACAATTTATAAATAAAATAATAAATATTTTAGCATATTAAATATCACAAAATAAAAACGATAATTTATAATCAAAATATTAAATAAGGACATACCATCTTTACTTCTTTATTTTTTAATACATTCTTATAATTATTAAAAAAAACTTAAATAAATAGTCATTTAAAATACAGCTATAATTATTATTTTCTTTTAGAAGCTACTCAAAATAATTTTTTGTCAAATTCTAATTTTTAAGAAATTATATATGCATAAACAAGAATATGAAATATTTTTTAAAATATTTTATTTGAAATAAAAATTATTTTTTCAATATAATGGGCTCTTAACTTTTGAGAAGCTAGCACCTTTCGCGCCCATTGGTGGGAGAGGAGTTTCATAACTTGCGTCAAGCTTAAAAATAAGCATAAAAATGTAGCACTTGGGTCCTTATAGCCTAATTTAATTATGTACGTAATAATAATAATAATTTTAACTCACTCGGATCTACTTTTTTTATGTTATAATGCAAATTAGATATTTTATCTTAATTTTTTAAAAATGAATTTGAATTTATTTAAATGAATTTTCAATTTGTTCTATTAATTTTAGTAAAATTTTCTTAAAAGAGTTTAAATTTACCCAAACGAGTTTAAAATTAAAAGTTATCATCAATTCATTCTTGTAATATTGTTTAAAAGTATATTTTTTTTTATAAACTTAAACCTTAAATGCTAAACCTTTAATAGAGCTTATTTGAATTGATGAAATCAACAAAATAAGGTGATTATATAAACAAAATAGTCTAGTCAAAATTACAATAATTAAAAAAATTCAAGTAAAAAAATACTAGAATGAGGTAATTGACTAGCTTGGCTAAAGAAAAGGACTATTCAAGTATTCATTCCAACAAGAATGGAAAAGATCTTCTAGCGCTTCTAACTCACCAGTCTATGCTACATCAATGGGACTTTTGTTACTATAGTAATAAGTAGCTCAAAACTCACAATAGAAAGGATTTAGGGGGAAGAGCTCATAGCAACCCTTCTTCAAAAAAATTTCTTCCTTTATGCTCCAAAACATTATCACTCCACGTGCCATCATTTCTAATTTTAATAAAATTTGTTTAAGTAAATTTTGTTAAAATTAGCAGAATTTGTTAAATATTCACTTAAATAATTCCAAATTTATTTAAATAAAAATAAAATTAAACATTTAATTCGTGCTATAACATAAAAAAAATATGAATTCGTTATAATGTTGAGTAATGTCTCAAAGCATTATAAAAATAATTTTGTTTTTGTATAAAGACTATTTTATAAACATTTTTAATGTAAGAAACAATTCTAAAATTAGTTCAAATACAGTAATAAAAAATATGTTTAAACCAAAAAAATATACTCACAATTAATCTACCTATGTATACTTATAATTAAGGCATTTAATTACATGTAAATGATTAATGATCACTACCTTTAATCTTCCTATGTTTATTCATTTTCATCTATTTTAAATTTTTTAAATTACTTTTTTTCTAAATATTTTTTCCTAATATATTTCTCAAAATAATACACATTCAATTTTAATAGAAACTCTTAAGAGTTATTTTCAAGCATACAGAATAATTATTGCTCTTGGGATTCCTTGAGGTCTTCTATAGGTATAGATAGTTACATCAACATGGATACAACATGTGCTGACCCGACTCCTTTTAACAAAGGTGTAGTCTGGAGTCTCGTCAGAAAATAAGTGTATGTGACCTGTAAATGCTTTTATTTTCAGCAAATTATTATACACTCATTTACTGTTAGCATTCACCACCCTCATTTCTCTAAGATTTTTTAAATTTTTTTAAATTCTATATTCCTAGTGTATCTTTGTAACTATCTATACAATGTTTCAACATTTTTCATGACACTTACTTTATCAACATTTCACATTACATTTTCTTTCTAATGCATATCATTTACATCATCCTTCTATTTCATTCATCTACTTACTATTAATACATTCTTCTTTCATCTTTTTCTCCCATTTCAATTCAATGAATAATGTCTAAGTTAAAGTACACATTGATTCAGTTCACATCATACGTATATTGAAGGAAATTATTTTAATCATTCTAGATCAATCAAGCATACATCATTCACTCTACATAACAGTCAAAGATTTCATTCAAGCACATATTGGTGAAATCATGAAGCACCTCATCATACAATTCAATACAATTTGTCGAAGGTTGAACACCTTTGGACTCAGACCAACCATACCATTCAAAAATATATTGCCGCAGATTACACTATCTTGGTCTTAAATAGATAACTTATTCTAAAGTTTGACATCAATCAATATTTACATCGTGTCTATTATCCAAAGTATCAAATAGAACTTTTTAACTATTTATGAATAATTTTCCATAATAAAATCATACTACTTAAAATAATTTCATTCGGAGCCTTTACTTTAAAAATATATTTAGATAATTCTAAAATAATCATGAATTTTTCATATTTAAAATCTTCATTCTTAACACTAAGATTATAAGAAACCTAAAGATTTTATAGTTCTAGTAGGAAAACTTAATATTTTCAATTCTAAAATATATAACTATAAGTTACGGTTTAGGTTTACTCCTTTTAGATAAGAGAAACACGATAAGAAGTACATTGTTCAACCAGAGGACAACCACCCTTCTAGCCAAGAATAGTATGGTTAGCACTTATCATTTAACCAAAAAATAGGCATGTTTTCTATAAGAAAAAAATGGTTTTCAAGCAAAAATACTTATTCTAAAACATGCTAAAGATGTTAATTTGGAGCTATACAAGTAACATAAGATATGGCAAAGTGACAATGGTTTGGTTTGGTGAGTTTAGACCCACCTTCTGATAATAGGCTTAAACTTGACTACCCTTAATGACACAATCAGAAGTTTATGAGATTAAGAAATTGAAAGAATATTCACTTAAGCAAATATAGACAAGTTAAGCAAATTTTATGCAAATTTTGAATTGTTTCTAAAATTTGTCTAAATAAAAAATGAATTTAAACATTTAATTTAGATCCCACACACATGTGCATACTAGCACACAATTTTTCTATTTTTTTTCTTTTGTTATATAACCCTTAAGTTACATATAATAACTTCTCCCCTTCTCTCTATCTTTTTTTTTTTTCAACAACTTCCTCTCTCCTTAGAGACCATTATGATGTCATTTTTAACAAACAATATGCGAAATGGAGACCCTTAAAAATAATTTTGAAAGACTAATACATTTTAAGACAATTTTATTAACATGGACCTTTAACAGCTAATTTTAAACTTAAACTTAGGTACTAGATGGAGAAACTATTAAATGTAAAACATCATATTAGTGTAAAAACAAATGTAAAATTGCAGTCCAAGTTTAGGATTCGAATCTAATTAACACAAAAATTAGACGTCTAGTTTCATTTTCACTAAAGCGAAAATCGTAACACTCAGGTGCTAGGCGAGGGTAGAGAGTGATCGCCGGTGTATTGTGGCATGGACAATGAGCGACTCCTGACAGGCTTCCAAGCGAGGGCAGAGAATGATCGCAGGTGCAATGTGTGGTACAGACAAGGAGCAGCTCCTAGCATGCTTTCGAGCAGTAAGGGACACATGAATGAATCGAACTTACACCGAAATGAAAGAAATTCAGAGACTGTATATACAGTTAAGGATAGTTTAAAGGAATTGATTAGAACTACTTATACCAACAAAATGCATTTACTTTTCGGTGGGAGATGAGTGACCTTATGGGAAGTTCCCAGAAAGTGTGTGAGTAAAAACAAAGCACATTGAAATCAAGCAGAAGCTGTGGGCATGTGACACCCAGACACTAGGCGAGAGCGAGGAGTGATCGTCAGTATAATGTGTCGCACGAACAAGAAGTGACTCTTCCGAACGATAAGGGACACATTAATGAATCAAACTTATACCAAAATGAGAGGATTCAGACCAAAGTTAAACGTGCTTAACTTTGTGCAATTATGAGATAGTTGAAGCGAATTTTTTTGTAATTGGCTGAAGCAAATTTTACGTTTTTTCTCTCAACCTTCTCTTCTCCTCATACCTAACACTTTCTCCTCAACCTTCATATTCAACTCTCTTTAACCTTCATATTCAATTTTCTTTAACCTCTATATTCAACTTTCTTCCTTCTCTCATTCCTAACTCTTATGTTCCTCTCCGAACTTCCTCTTCCCCCCACTCCATATTCAACCCCTCTCTTCTTCTTCTCATTCTCACCTCACCTTATACCTATATTCCCTTCTTTATTCTATACCCAATTATCTACCCTCCTCTCCCTCCACCACCACCTCTCTCCTTATTTCTATCTATCCTCATTCATCTCTTGCTCCACACTTACCGCAACCAAAATAATTACGGGGTACTAAACTGAAACAAAGCCAAGGTAGAATTTATTATTATAAACTAAGGTTGGAACGTTGACGAGCCTGTATGGATATCCCACGAAACCAAGTCTAGAGATAAATCCCAACTTACGAGGTACGTAGATTGGAGTTTTAATAAAAAAAAAAAATTTCAAAATCGATTTCAGTCAACGGAGGTTACAACGTTAAAACAAATAGAGCGTAGTCTTTTATTTTAATCCAGACACCATCCACAAGGAATCAAGGACACACGGCATCGTTCTTCTGAAGGGTACGGAACCCACATCGGATAAAATATCTCAAGTTTGCCAATGAAAACTAAACAAGAATGAACTCAAACAGCAAGTTAGATCTTGTAAACGCGATAATGTATTACAAAAGTCGACTACTTATTGCCTAGCACAAACCAAAAAAGCACATAAAAGTTCCCGCCTTGTGCCATTGTTATCCAAGTTATTATTAAACATGAACTTCCTCCCAGCTATGCTGAGAAGGATAAAAAATGTGTAGCATCTGTGACTCCTGAAAATTTGGACAGCAGTATTATGCAACTATCAGAATCTTTTAAATCAAACACTAACATAATCCATGAGTAAAACCAGCTTTCATGGGTTGCAAATTGCAATTTCTTCCTGCTGTTTTACGGACGAAGTTTGGGAAATTTTGTTTTTTGTAACATCAAAGATTTCCAAAGAACTAACCAGGCCATGAAAATTTTCAGGACTAGATTTATGTTCAAGCAGCTGCAGCCAAAGGCACAGATCTGTAGCAAGCTCTCTTTGCAGCACGAACAATATCTTCAACCTGTACATCCACAAATACCAACCAGTAAGAAACCAGATTTTATTGATCTATAGACATGTATCAAAACCTTCAACATATTAGCATCTGGCTTCGTATCTGATACCAACTCAGGTCATACCAAGTCACGACACCAGGGGTAGCATTTTACCCATTCAAAATAGAAATGCATTTCTGGATCAATTTGCAAATTAAGAAAACAGATCATCCAAACCAGGTTGAGAAATTCACGAAAAACAAAGTTAACATTGAAGAATTGATACCTGTGGGACAGCCATTCTTTCCAGATTTGCTGCATAGGGCATGGGAACATCAGCCCCAGCAATTCTCTCAACTGGAGCATCAAGATAACCAAAACTCTCCTCAATGACAGATGCGCTGCTCAAGAGAAGTATAAAATAGCATGATTTCCCTGGGTAAACCAAAAAGATACAAGAAAGTCAATGTAAAGAGATAAACCAGATTTCTGCGCCAACACCATGCTGAGGAAACCCTTCTTCAACTGTCACCAGCCTGTTGGTTTTCCTGACAGAAGTATTGATTGTGGATCGATCAAGCGGCCGGATTGACCGCAAATTAATAACCTATTGTAGGTAAAAACATCACTCAACATTATCATAACCAAAGTGAAGTTTTGAAAATAGGGGGAAACTATTGCAAGTTGTACCTCAGCACTGATTCCTTCCTTTGCCAGTGTCTCAGCAGCCTAAACACCAAGCAGAAGAGATTTTATGAATGTTCTCTACTTTGGGAGTACAGAAAGAGGTTGGAGATGTATATATATATATATATCTCCAACCTATATATATATATATTAAAAAAAATTATAAGATGCCACAAGCCAACCCAACCAAAAAATTTATTATCCTCAATCCTTCTTTTATTATTTAATAGTTAAATGCAAAAAAAATGTATATCTCTTTCACATACTTCTCAGCAAATGATCAATTGGATCAAGCAAATAATAAAAAAGGATCTCATAGTAAACAAACCTTGAGAGCATAGCCAACCATTTTTGAAAAGGCTGTGATAGTCACATCTTTTCCTTCTCTCTCAATCTGTAATTGGTACAATGCATGAAGTAAACAAGGAGTCAATAAGAATGCTTTATTGTATAGCGAATGTGGCTCTAACAATCATAAGGTGTATTTCAAATACTACAAATAATTAACTACCTTTGCTTTTCCTATGGATAGGCAAAAGCTGGAATCAAGAGCTTCGGCTGAAACAGGGAATGACTCACCATATCTAGAGGACATAATTCATCAAATTAACTATTTTTTAAAACAAGAAGTGATGTAAAGAATCTTCAATTACTCAGTTTCATATACTAATCAAGCAGCATAACTTACAACAACTCATTTTCAAGGAAAACAACAGGATCAGGGTCCCGTATAGCAGCTTTAAGCAAACCACGAGCATCTTCAGATGAATATGGTGATAAGACTTTTAACCCAGGGCATGAACCATACCAAGATGCATAACACTGCATAAAAGCAAAGTTGCAGAGCATACAAAGAGAGACAAAGCCTAAATTATCAGTGCTCAATAGCTTATAACCAGAATATAATTTGATGTAGAATTCAAACAAATTGTTAAAGAAAGTTTGTATATAAAATAAAAGCCTGGAGAACCATACTTGAGAGTGCTGAGCACCAACCCCAGCAGCAGCACCGTTGGGTCCTCTAAAGACAATAGGCACAGATATTTGGCCAGCAGACATGTAATTTGATTTTGCAGCAGAATTAATAATGTGATCTATTGCCTGAAACATGAATTAAAATATAACTGAGAGGGATAAACATGAATAATTAATTGGCAAGCTCATGAGCCAGATGATGCAGCTGTTTATCTAACAAATTCATAACTAAATGTTACTAATCATCCTAACAAAATATTATTCATAATTTATAAGTATTACAATATTCAAGGTAATGCTCAACATTAAGATTGCAAACATATGGGCCAAAGAGAATTCTCCTTCCAACATAATTCATACCTACGAATAATACTTGAACATAGAAGTAATAAGAGTCAACAAGTAAAAAAATTCCAGCAGAAGGCCTGTCACCTAAACAACTTGATTGATTCGTATGGCATTGATATGACATTCTAACAATCAGTAAAACATCACAGAATTGCTTATTTTTTAAGTCAACTATGATTGGCAATTTGATGCTGTTAACAATAAACCAAATTTATCCTTCCAATATACAGAACAAAAGCTTGACCCAAATCACAATTCCATAGTTTTATATTGTTAACAGGGTAGTCAATCACAGAATTTTGTATGTCCTCCCTGCAATGCAGAGTATTGCTTCGGGCTTTGACTAAGCAGCCATCAGAACCTCAAAACCCATCAAATCACAACCATTATTGGTGATTTCTTGAATTCCATATGTGCCCCTCCGATTAATTTTGTGGTTTTCACTGTACCTCCCACTTTAGTTTGAGCTTCACCAATTTTTATTGTTTGCTGTTGTTTTTCCAGCAACCCATGGTCATTTTGTGCTCTTTATAGGAACTTTCATACTGTTTCACAGTTCTCAGTTCTCATGATTTTCAAAGGTCAGCAGTGTATTCTAGCAGTCCTCCTCTGCTTTTTTTTTTTTTTTTTTTTGGTTGTTTTCTCCTATGGCTTTGTGTAGTTTGCACATCATAGTTCGTAGCCCATGGCATTATCCACCTGACTTTGACACCTTAGTGACTCAAACTTATTGTTGAAGTATGGCACTGTACTTTTTTTTTTTCCGTTATGATCATTTGTTGTGATTAACTTTTTAGTTATGCCTAAGATGTACGATGATTGTATGTCTACACTATATCACTATGACTTCTGATTATCAATGATGAATATTTTTTAAATTCGATTTATTACAGTTTTAGCACTTATGTGACTACAGTAAACTATTTATCTTATATACATAATCTTCAGCAGCAGTCATTTTACTATCCCACTAAAGCTATTTTGGGGTTGGCTGCTTCACACCTCTATCCTTGATTGTCAACTGTAATCATCAACACCAACACAGAATCAAAAGGGATTAATGTCCCTTGTGGAACCAATCATCATTTGTTCAGAACTTCACACTCCTGGTTCTTATCACACACAAGACAGAACTCATAAGATGCCATCTAATAATCTTCATGGGCAGTTAAATTTACAAGATATAACATAATACATAAATTAAGTATTGTCGTAAGAAAAATAACACACCAAAACTAAACACCCAGTAAAAGAAAGAAATGATGCAATCAAGATAAACTCTAACCTGCATGGAGAAGTTAAATGTCATAAACTCCACAACAGGTCTTAGACCATAATATGCAGCACCAACTCCAATCCCGGCAAACCCAGCCTGTATTATATTTAACAGATAAAAAAAATGTCAACCCAACATCTGCCACCAACTATGAATAAATCCTTTTCAATTTTCACTAGAAATAATCAGTTAAATTTAATTCATAAAAGAAAATATCTGCTAATGTAATTTGTAAGATGGAAAGTACACTACTATATATGGAATTGAAAATATAATCAAGCATGGGACATTAGAGTATCAATTTTATGATGAGAAACTGAAAATATCAATTTTCTATGTTTGAAAAGTAATCCATTACAAAAAGTTAGAAGGAGCTCAGAATGAAGAACACAGCCCAACATAATATGCCATGCCTATTTCCAAGGATGCATATCCCCATGCCATCACAGGATGACAGGATAAGCAGTCACATTATTAAAACATTAGTTTGTTTATTTTATTGGATGTTTCCCCTAAAGACTTGTTGAACATTTTAAAATTTGGCCCTTGGCAAGTTCAGAGAGAAAATTAAAAGTGCTTAGATACCAAAATCTTTATCACACTGTGCTTCGGTTACTTATGCCAGTTACAAAGTCATGCCAACACCTTCCTAAGAAAGGGACTGCTTAAGCGATAGTTTGGATTCAGCAAATTTTTTAAGCATATAGGTCTTTAACTGAAAATAGAATACCAATGAATTTCTCAATGCAAAAAATTGTGTTTCTTGTTCTAAGATAATTACTAGGTCTAAAAGACTGAAACTGGGAGGGTGCAGGAGGCATCCAAACTACCAAATTTGTATCAATTTGCAAGCGTTGTTACATAAAACTAAACCTAGTGGCGAGAAAATTTAAAGCATGTTTGAATTTGCAATCAGAACCATCATTCACGCATCCATCAGAGAGACGCCACTCTTAGTAGTGATAAGATAGACAAGTGTTAGTCAATATTAATGTTGATGATCCAAACATCCCCTTATAAAATGTAAAGAATGAAAAGAAGCGGTAGTCGGACATGATTTACAAGTCGCAATCAGTGGCTGCAAAGGTATGAAGTATCAAAGGAGTGTGTGTAAGAAAAATGACCTCGGTGATTGGGGTGTCGAGAACCCTGTCGGGACCATACTTCTCCAGGAGTCCCTTGGATATCTAAAATGAAAGAAGAAAGAAGGTTAACAGGTACTAGTTAAGCAAGTACTTAAATCCGCAAACTTGCCAATACAACTAACCTTGTATGCACCCTGATATTCCCCCACCTGCACTTAAATACAACCAAAATGAACATCAGAAAAAAGAGAGGGGGTAGGTAGAGGCCAACCCTCAAAACAGTTCATTCTGAAAATCGAAAGAGAGAGGATGACCTCTTCACCCATCAAGAAGACTTTTGGATCAGCTGACATTTCCTCATCGAGTGCGGAGTTGAGAGCCTCTCTCACTGTTATCTGCATATTTCGTTTCAGAATCAGATATTTAATTGGGAAAATGAAAAGAGAAGAAAGCAATACCTCTTTAGCGGCAGAAGAGAAATGTCTGAATGCGGAGAAGGTAGGACGAATACTCTGCAGCAAATAAAATTGTTCATCATTTGAAATGGAATGAATTTGAAGCACAGAACGGAACCAGACGCGGACAAATGCCGTACCTTGTGCCTTATCACACCCCACATCTTGCTTCCTTCAACTTGAATCAAACAAAGCGAAACAAGTCAGTCACTAAAGCCGTAATCCATAAAAAATTAAAAATTTTAAAAATTTTAAAAAAAATCATTGACAACGCTCATAAGAATCATATAACAAAATCTACGGTGCATAAAAGAAACCCTAAGACTAAGAGGCAGGTGGATTGAAAGAAATATCTGAAAGAAGAAGAAGAAGAAGAAGAATCCGCACCTGTAGCTATAGCTGGATCCGATCGCCCCTCACTTAACAATACACGATGATCCTAACCAACAACCCACCCTCTGGTTTATATCTTATTTATAATCATGCTCTAGCTCCTATTCTCTCCCTTCAATTTTTTTATTTTTATTTTACATAACTCCACTTTAATTATTATTTAAAGACATTTTATGACATGTATTTATTCAAATAATTTTTACAGAAAATATATTTTTTATTAACCAAAAGTATTTTTTTTTAATATCTCTATCTTAAATTCGAATCAAGACACAAATATATTAAAAAAACGAAATAATTAAATTTAAAGAATTTCAAAAGAATAACGTGTAAAAAATTTTGTAAAACAGCTTTACTATCATATATCAAATTTTTAATATTTAAGTTATAGAAGTTATTAATACTCATCATTATTTTTTGTAATGTTTTAGTAAGATTTTCAAATTTTTTATATAAAATTTTAGAATGAAAAAGTAATTTCTCACTCCAAAGTAAACAAAATAAATAAACTCAAAATAATATTTAAAACAGCTTAAATTTATCTAAAAAAATTAATAACTTAAACTTCTAATTTATTAACCACAAGCCACTTAATTAATCACTTAAATTATGTTCTTCAATTTTTAACTATATTAAATGTCCACACTGATATCTTTAGAAAATTATCTTATTTTTTTATTATTTCAAACGTTTGTCAAATTCATTTTATATAAAAACTTTTAAAATAAAAAGTAATATCTCATTTTAAAGTAAAAAACAAAATAATATTTAAAAAACATAAAGTTATTTAAGTAAAATAACTAATAACTAAATTTATAATTTATCAATATCACTTAATTAATCTCTTTGAACTATGTTTTTCAAATTCTAATAATATTAAACATTCACAATATTATATTTAAAAATGATAGATTTTGAAAAATATAAAAAAAAATATTTGAATAATGTGACAATATTTTTTTATTTGTATAAAAATAAAAATAAAAGTAAATAAATGCTTAAGTCTTAAATAAATATTAATAGATAAATTATTTTAAAAAAAGATTTACTCTTAACAATACACATGTTCAAAAAGTAAAAATAAGATTATTAGTGTAAAAATAAGTTTCTCTAAGTATGAATGAGATAAGTATCTTAATATTAAGTCAATAAATCTTCCTATCATGAATAAGTTGAATGATAAGATAATTTGATTAATAAATGACAAGAAATGTGAATCTTTAAAGTAGTAGCAAGATAAAGAAATTAATTATATATATGAAAACAAAAAGAAATCATTAGTTTATTAACCTATAGAGTTACAAAAATTATCTCTAAAACCTACTTTATTAGATCTTTGAAAAGTTTATCCATTTAGAATTATTATTCTATTTGGAGAAAAAATATAAGAAACTTATTGAAAAAGCCAAAGAAAAAAGTATGAGAATAAAAATATTTAAATTTTAAATAAATATGACAAATATCAATTAAAATTTTATGCAAAGAATTATTTGTACTATAATGGTAAAGATCATTACAATCTTTCCAAATGACCTACAAAAAGGTAATAAATAAAAAATCATAATCAATGAGAAACTCAAGCAACTAAAACTAGAAGTCTATTTAAGAAATAAAAAGGGACTTATTTGAGTAAATAAGAACCTCTTAATGAAAAGCATTCTTGTGATCCCCATAATATCTAACATAATAAAAAGTTAAAAAAATTTAGAGTATGGTAAAATTACAAGGAATTGAATCTAGTACCAATAAATAGAAAAAAAAATTTGATTTTTTTTCATGTATATAGAGTTTCTAAAGCTAAGCTCAAGAAGAAAAAAAATAATTTGTTATCTATATATATCCAACATTGATTGAACAAAACTATTTAATATTAAGACTTCAAATTAGGCAATTTGAAGTAACTTTCTTGAGAAAGAAATTAAAAGAATTTATCATTTTTTTTATCAAAAGAAAGAATAGTGTAGATTATCTTGAAATTCTTATTACTTTTGTCTCTTTATACATAATTCTAAGTCTTTGACATGAACAAATAAACTTTCTAACAAACTAGACCATTATTAATCCAATTGGAATGCATCCAAAGAAGTTTTTCTATTGTTAGTTCTATAATTACACACATCTTTTAAAAGTCATAACCGTTTGATGGAATTCTAGCAAGTTAAAGTACTTTTACTGGAAGCAATAAAATTATTTTGACTTACCTCATATATATCTATAATAATTTAGACTTAAAATTTGTTCAAATTATTAATCATCAACCAAACAAATTTATCCAACATTTGAGTATTCATTAACCTATAATGACACGGTCTTAGTATATCAAAAAGTTTGAACTTGATAACATAACTCCACTTAACAAAATAAAGACATTTATTAGTATTCTTAGCTCAAAGTTATGCACAATAAACTATAATTTATTATAAACAAAACTTCATGTTCATTATATTTTGGATAATATAGTTGTTGCTTTAAAATAATTTTTACAATACTCTAAATTTAATATAGAAAAATATATTTTTATACATAACCATTAAAATGATCCATCCAACTTTTCAATCTTGGATAATAAATTCTTTTTCAAAGTTTTATATTTTTTATATTTATCAAATAAAGGTATTGTTTTATAAATAGTTTGTTTAACTTTTTTGAAAACATAATTTACTGCACTTGATCTTAAAGACAAAAAAAAGAAAACAAATATAAACTGAAAAAAATGTCATTTCTGCATCATATATGAATCTTTTCTAGTTATAGTGAAAATTGAATGCTTAATTTTTTTAAAAAACAAAAATAAATTTGTCTAATTATAAAAAATAATAAAAAGAACACAAAATATCCTTAAATGAATTTTTACCGTCTGCTCTCCCTCTCCGACTCTCTCTTCCTCCTAACCATTGTTTTTCTCTCATACTCAATTCCCTTCTTCCTCAACCCCTAACTCTCCCACTAACCCTAGCTTAACCCCCCTTCCCTCCTTAGGCCCTTTTTCCCTTTCTTTTTCGTTGCCTCTAGCCTCTCACTCGCTCCTTTCCTTTCTATGTACATGAAAGTTAGTAATTACTTAAGAGACTTTTGCTTAATATTTTTTTTTTCATTTTCTTAAAATTCAAATAAGTAAATTTAGTTCTTGTAGTAACAGCGAGAGAGAATTTGGATCCCTTTGCATCATGCATCACATACACAGGTAGGTCAAATTAGATACTTTAGACAAGTAGGTAGTTAATGTTGGTTGCCCATCCTTCATAGTTAATGTCCTTACATATTGAAAATTTTGACTCTCAGCTAAACTACAACAACAAAGATACTTTGGTGATCAACGATGTGTGGGTTTGTGATTTACACAACTTCAGTTGAGTTTAGAGACTAACAAAAACATTTTGGTGATCAAACTCCAACTCTAATTGCATGTAACTATTTTCCTCAAACAATTTTACTAGTCATTTGAATAGATTTGACTATAATTGCTAGATGTTGTTTGATTTGCACAATTTTGAATAAACTTCTTTATTCTACCCACTTTTATTCACACTAAAAACACAACCAACAAATAAGTTTTTATAAGTTAGCTTTAATTTTTATATTAAATTAGTTTATTAGTCAACATGGACATTCATATAATAACTAGTAATTTTTCTTTCACTAATTTAAATAATTATTAATAATAAATATATTATCATATTAAATAAAATGAAAACATAAATTTTTAAATTAAAAATAATGAAAAGATAATATTATTGCATGATAAAAAAAAACCCATAAAAGCATTCTTGTTTGAAAAAGTTGGGATTAGACTTTAGGCAAGTTTAAGCCTATAAAATCCCATCCAATTTGAATCGAATATAGGCAAATGAGAACCATTCATGTCCATTTGAGTTGTTAGTTTAAGTAAGTCTTTGTTTAGAGAGGTTTAAGGTGATTAAGATGAGTTCAAACAAATTTAAGCCAATAATTTACATGCTAAGTTTAACCATTATTTTTTTTTTTTTTGTTAATCATATCCTTGTTTTAAATCACATGATCTACTATGTTTTATTGATCCAAGATTCTTATGACTTTATAACTTTAAACTCAAATGATAGACAAGGATAACACATGGAGGAAGGCTACTCATTCACATAAGTCGCGAGTAGATGAATGAAGCACGACAAGGAGAAGTAGATAATGTGTTTATATGTGAATGTGTGAGGTGAATAGGAGTTAAGCACTTAAGAGATAGGAGATGGGATGGTTAATAGTGTTAAATGTATAAAATGAGTAATTTTAGATGAAGACTTGAGCACTTTTCATATTAGAAGTTTGAATTATTTTGTTAAATTTCTCCTAAACTTGAAATTTTTACAATTACTTGTATATTTCAAGAAAAGAGCACAATTTTAAATGTTTTGATTCCTTTCTGAACTATTTTGTAGTTAGAATCAAAAGAGAAACATCACTCAAAATTGAAGAAAATTGAAAAAGTAAGAAAAAGATTATACAAAGCATGAAATTACAGAAAAAGTTAGCTTTTGAAAGTTTCTCGCTATAGCGAGATACCCTCGCTGCAACGAGAATGCTTAAGTTTAATTAGGGTGATTTTGTACTTTTCTCGTTACAGCGACACATTATCGCTGTAACGAGAGTTTTGGTCTCGCTGTAGCCAAAAGTATGTCGCTGCAGCGAGAGGCAGATATAATAATCTAATTTGTTTCTCTATGTCTCGCTATAATGACCTCTCATAGCGAGAGAAACTTCGTCTAGACCAGTATAAAATGCGATTTTTGAGCTGCTAAAGGGGGTTACTATTCCATTTCATGATTTTAGAAAAGAGAGAGTAGTGAAGGGCAGAGAAAAAGGGTAGAAATACTGAAGTTTTGATGTTCTACATTGTTTGTATCTCATTTCTTGTTATTATTGTTGCAATGAGCAACTAAAATTTGTACAGGATTGAATGTAAATATTTAAACTTGATGTATTCTTAGTAATTTATATAAACATGTTTCTTCTTCATTTCTATTGATTTGGTGATTTCAATCTATATTAATATTTGAATTTGTCTATTTGAAAGTTTCATGAGCTTAGATCTGAATTATATTTGAAAAGGTATTACTTAGATTTAGATCTGATTGAGATTACTCAATAACTGGTTACTTTAAGAATAGAT